GTAGTGCACACACCTGTAATCCCAGCACACAGGAGGCAGAGGCCAGGCGCTCACAGGCTTTAAGCCAACTGGAACTACAGAGTGAGCTCAAAGGCAGCCTGGGGGATGGGAAGACCTGTCAAAACAAAACAAACAGTAAGAAACATTAGTTTTTCCATGTATGAGCCAGTGCAAAAGGCCTAATAAGAAACACTGCCAATGCCTTGATCCTGAACTTCTAGCCTCAAGAATTCTGAGGAAACCATGAGTAGGCCTGATAGTGGGGTGGGGGGCTGGAATCCCAGCATTTCCGGGTCAGAGACAGACAGGTTTTGAGGCCTTCTTAGGATGTCCCTGAGCAGCTTGGCTACATAGAGAAACCCTCTCTCAGAAACAAACATGGCTGGTCATTTGCCTCAGCTGTAGAGCACTCACTCACTCAGCATGCATAAGTTACTGATTCCATCCTGGGCAGAAGCAACAACAGGAGGAGTTGTGAGAGAATAAATTCCTGTTGTAGGAGCCTTGTAATCTGGGGTGTTTTGGCTCTAGCAGCACAAGAAAAATACATACACCATGTAGGTGCTTATAAACTGCTATCTTCTAGCAGGTTCAAAAAGTCCAATTGAGCCCCAGCCTGTACAGCTCATGATTTTGTTGTTTTGTTTGTTTGTTATTCGGGATCTTGCTATTTAGCACAGGCTATATAGCACAGGCTGACCCCTCCTCTCAACTGACCTCTCTGCCTTGCCTTCTAAAGTACTAGAATCAGAGGGCATGAGCTACCAGGGCACAAAACATGCTTTCTATAGCTACACTTCCTTGTAGCACATCTCTGCAGCCCATAAACAATGAAATCACTAACAGATCAAAACTACCTGTCCTCTCATTATTCCTTTATATAAACAGTTACACTCTGTTATTCTACCTGACCTAGACAACATCCACGTAGTTAATGAGTATCCATTAACTAAATTGATTTTGTATAAGTTTTTTGTTCATTGTTTGTTTGGTTTTGCTGTTGTTTCTTTTTGGGTGCTAGAGAAAACAGTATCACCTTGAGCAATGGTCCCAAACCCCCAAGGTTTTAAAGATATCTAGTGGCCTTAGATATCTTCATGTTGATGCATTTCAGCATGTAATTATTGTTGAAACAAAGCCCATCAGCATAGTTATTCTGTTATATTTAGCAAATTTATATTTGCATAGTGTCTTCTATCAGTTTTTCATTCTTTTCTCTGCGAAGATGTTTAAGTTCTTGCCTTGAATTCCCCTCCGTGACAGTGTAAGAGAAAACCACTTCTTCCCCTAAGTTGCTTTTCGTTTTGTTTTGTCACAGCAACAGAACTGAAACCAGAACATCCTGGTGAACTTTCCAGGGATCTTGTGATCAGGGGCTGTGATTTGGAAAGCTTGGGAGAGAGAGCAGAGGCGTGGAGGGGTGGGGATAAAGGAAGACAGATCAAAGAATGCAAGGCAGGGAAGACAAGGTTAAGCAGCTGCTTACTTGTCTGGCTGGGTGCGGGTGCTTCCACTGTAAGATCTGGAATGTTTTGCAAAATTGAATACAAAAGAGGTTTTTTTTTTTTTTTTTTAAGAGTTTAAAAACTCTTAGCCAGGAGATTGTGGCACATCCCTTTAATCCCAGAATTTGGGAGGCAGAGGCAGGAGACTCTGAGTTCAAGGCCAGGACAGAGAAATCCTGTCTCAACAAACAAACAAACAAAAACCTCTTACAACCTCTCCCTTCTTTCTTTCTTCTGTTCCTTTGAACATGGAACCATGAACAAGGCTAGGAAGGACCAGTTCCAGTGAGTGCCTTCAGGAAGAGATATGACTAGACAGTGGCTAAGATAATTTTTTCCTGGTGGGCAAAACAAAGTCTTGGAAGAGAGCTTAGATTGAAGTATGGTCCAGTAAAGCGTTTTGAACAATTCAATGAGTGGGGGTATAGGAACGAGCTCATTGTTTATGAGAATAGGAACTTGAGGTCTGTGTGAGGGTATCATTAGTAAGCAATAGGTTACCTATCAGTCTTACCTAAGTTACTTGAGGGCCAGCAAATCTCTGTCTCAGGTGATTTCTTTAGTCTTTTCTGCTTTCAGGAGGTAAGGGGTGGGTCACATTCCACATTGCTCCTGAGGAGAGCACTCGGGGAAGCTCTAAGATGATCTAGGGCAGTGGCTGTCAGCTTGTGCAGAACCTTGAGTTACTGTACACAACAATTTTGACCTAAGTTATTCCATTGTTATCATCAATGCCAAGGTAGAACGACTACATTTTGTTTATACAAGTACCCAGATGCCATCTGCCCGCACACCCTGAGCCTCGATCTGATAAATAATTTATCTGTGCTGATAAATAATTACACACAAGAATATGTGATTCATATCAGAAGCCTCAGACAGACAAGCTTCTCAATCACACCAGATGTATCTCTCACTGTAAAAGGAGCACCCCAAGACTGAGACATCCCATGATCACTTGTGAGCTTTATCCACGAAAGCAAAGGAACTCTGTTCGCCCCTGGACTCTAGTTAGAGCATGGCTTATCCTGCATGACCTACCCAGGCTGGCACTCAAAACCTGCTGCCACCAGATCTGCATGAGTTGACAACCCCGTGGCCTGGTTTGCAAAGCTTAAAATGATTCTCTGCAGAAAAATGTACTTGTATCTCTACCAGCTCCCTGCCTCCTTCTTCAACACAGCCTCTCTGATACCTTAGCCACACACAACTATGTGATCTTGTAAACAACAAACAAGCAAACAAATGCTAGGTTTAAAATGAATGTTATCATTAGAATGGCAAAGCTGGGAACGCTGAGGAAGGTAACTATTAGGGCTTGCAGCTGGCTATGAGCTAGTCAAGCTGACCCAAAAAGAGGAAGGACAGAGTTCTGAGGGGGGGGAACCCAAGTTAGTTTTGGTCTCTGTAGGCTCCAGCCATCAAGAAACCCCCACCCCACCCCCCCACTCTCGCTGAGCCCAAGAAGTCTGCAAGGCTCTACTACCCTTTCCTCTAGTATTTCTCAACTTTTTGGCAAGTTACACATTCAAACACATTCTTGCATTTAATGCATATAATTATAACAGACTGAATTATGGGTAAGGGAAGCTTCTAAGAAAGCCATTGCTTCTTCCAGGAAGGAAAGGCCTGCAGGATGCTCCAGAGGTAGGCTAGAGGAGGAGCTAGAGGAGTGGCAAGTCCTGAAGTCAGGCATCCCTTACGCCACCCTTCTTCCTTCTGGAGGGCACACTTGCTTTCTCACCTGCTGGAGTAAGCCTTGGTTACCGAAAAGTTTCTGCACCCATAGGCCTCTTTGTTGACTCAGTATCCAAATCAGATTAAGTCAAACCTAGTTAGAAAAAGTCTTTTAAAATAGTTTGGAAGCTCACCCTTCTACACTGTGTCCTGGGGGAACTCAGGAAACCACATTTTCTGGAAGGTTTTGCCAGTAGGAGATGGAAGGCTGGAGGAACGAGGAGGAAAGGGATTCATCGTATTTGCTTCTCACGGGGAGCAAAGAAAAAGGATGTTTCTTCTAGACATTGACCGTTCAAAACAAACTTAAACTACTCGAGGTAAACTACTTGAGGTAAATCAGCTCAGTGAGGATGGAGGAAACAGTTTATTCTCATGAAAGCAAGTGACAGGCTTAGTTTCAAGCATCACATTGTGACATTCTGCAATGCATTGTGAGGCTTTGTGGTGTATTTACTTTTACAGTGATTACCAACGGACTTTAAAAATATTACTTTGTCCCTCGTAAAGAGACAGTGGATTAGGGGTAGATGGGGAAGAAAAATTGCAGTTGCTGTGAATGCAATTCAACTTTTAAATAATGTGTGATAACATTACTCTTCTGCATAAAGTTAAAAGCAAGGCATTGTAAAACTGTCACTGGAGGGGAAAACTTTTAGGGAAAGAGTCAAGATTACCTTCCTTAAGATTAAGGATGGTATCATTAGCACCTAGGCCTTTGTTTCTGCAGGTGGCCAGGGTTGATGTTGTTTTCCCCCCAGTAAGGCTCCAGGGAAAGGGTGGTACAGGGAGCAGGGACAGAGCATACAAAGCAATCCTCCAAGAATCAGCCCCCAGCATAGAAGAGGAAAAGCCCAGGCTTGGCAGAAAGGACACATGGGACTGGACTTGACAGGAACTGGTGGGCTATTGTCTCACTCGGTAGCCTTCTATTGTTGTCTTCTATTCAACTTGTGTGGCATTGTAGAAGGCACTCCTCAGAATACATAGCCTCTTCAGATCTGCAGCCCAAAAGGGTGAACAGAGCAGATTGGTGCTTCCAAGCTAACCCAGCCTTGCTCTCCACACTCCACGAATGACCACCCATCCTTGAGGGTCACCAGACGTGCTCACCTGATACAAGGGCCCACTTATGGCCCACCTGCTTGCAAACTCTGTTTCTGTAACCTGCACAGTTGTATATTATTTATTGTGTACAGTATAATGTATGAAGTGGGAGCTAATAGTCCTAATTAACGTGCGGAAAAAGAAGAGGGAGCTTTCAAGTAAAATCAGGATTACTTGGCAAGCTTGTGAATTTATTGGTTATTCAACAAATTCTGTCATAACGGTGGCACAAACATGTCTGTCTATGTTTCTGGTGCAAAAATGTGCTTTATCTCGGTTTATTTAGAAAACGATAATGCATGGGCATCTCTAAACTTCATGCACTATAAACAAACGCATTGGCATTTGAGCTTTTTAGTGATTTTTAAAATCAGACATGAAAACAGTTGGCACATTTCCTGCCCCAGAGGAAGAAGATATAAAAGTTCTTAAAAGATCCCATTCAGACACCTGGTCCTACTTGGCCCAGAGAACCAAGAAATCCTAGGAAGCAAGGGGAAGTTTGGTTCCGAGTTATCTTCCGGGACCACTGTAGCGCCCAGAGGGCGCCCTCACCTCGAGCCTGGACCACAGGTGGTAGAAGCGGGACAGAGGCGTGGTCTCAAGGGTGGGCACGGGGGCGTGGGCTCGAGGGCGGATCCTAGGGCGTGGCGCCGGCCTCGAGGACCGGAGCGCAGCGGGCTGAGCACACCAGGATCCGCATTGCGAGCGGATTCAGCGGAGTTTCGTGCGCCTAGCGGGCACAGGCTCCAGGTAACCTAGGCCGGGCCGGTGGCCTTGTGGCCCAGCAAATCTGGACAGCACAGAGCCGGATTTACGCGGGTGGGACCGGTTCCGCTCGGAAGGGAGTGGAGCTGATACGGGGTGAGAGGTCGCTCGGTTCCGGTGCACCGGGCTAGGATGGAGCAGGAGTCCTCTTCCCACCCTCCTTCCGGTCCATCAGTGGGACGCCGCCACACTGTGGCATCTGGAAGTCACTTTCCGACCTCTTTTTCCCGAACCCGGGTAATGAATGGGGCCTTAGAAATCGGGGTTGGCTGCAGGCTTGGAGGGTTAAGAGGCAAGCGGTTACAGCAGTGTCTTAGGCGCCAAGGACTTAAACTTCGTAAAACCACAGCCCAGTGAAGAGGCCTTGCGACCCCTGTTAGAGCACGGACCGAGGAGCCAGCACTGGGGCAGAGAATGCCTGCCGGCTTGTCTGGGGTCCAAGCAGTCGCTGCCCTTCCTCTTGCCTTGTTCTTCGGGCTGCGGGTCTGTTATGAAAACAGGTAATTCTTCTTAAACATGTTACTTCTCTAGGTTCTTTGTTTTTGTTTGTTTTGAGGTTATTAGGTGTCCTTTCTTTTTTTTCTCCTTCCTTCTTTCCTTCCTTCCTTTTTTTTTTTTTTTTTTTTTTTTTTTGGTGGCTTCGAACTCAAAGAGATTTGCCTGCCTCTGCCTCCCAAGGTTAAAGACATGCCCCACCATGCCTGAAGCTTAAGATGCTCATCTCAGGTTCACAGCGGCTCGGTCTCAGTTCTTTCAATGCTGAAGAAAAGTGGACCCCCAGTCCCCAGCCCCTGCCGGGTGGCTGTTAAGCCTCTTCCTAAGTTCCACCACAGAGGAGTCGCCGGTTTGGCTCTGCAAAAACTTTGTCAGAGTGATGTACATTCTTTACCTTGCCTTTTCACCCCAGAGGAGAGTTGTTTTGTTGCAAATAATAGAGCTGGAAGCAAATTAGGAGGAAATAGAGTGTTCTAGAGCTGGAAGCAAATTAGGAGGAAATACAGTCAGTGTTCAGACAGAGCACTGGTGCGTTCACTTGAGAAGGCGGGTGGGTGGGGCTGTGACCTGAATTTGGTGAGTAGTGGGGGAGCAATATGGTTTCTTCCTCTGGCCTGCTGCCCCCATTTAGAGTTGTCCTGAAAGGCAGATTTGTCTTCTAGAAGGGAAAAAGAGGGGTATGTGTTTTTTTAAAGACCAGTGTAAATTACAGGGGCTGCAGGAGGATTGGGAGCAGGTTTCCCTTCTGGAAGGGTAGGAAACTACAGGTATCTGCTTTTTCCTCCCTTCTCTCCTTTTTCAGGCTTTAATGATGGTATTTTGGGAAAACTTTGCTTTCTTAGAAATGGCCAATTAGGACATTAGGCGGTGGGAAACTACTGTTGGAAATTGTCTTTTCTGAAGGCCAGATGCTGTTTTCTGCTGTTTTGTTTGGACAGGGTCTTAATCTGTATATAGCTCAGGTTGGCCTCAAAGTCTGGATAAACCTCCTGAGTGCTAGGACTTCTGACATATGCAAGACCCCCAGCTCAAATGCTGCTAGCTATGAAGTGTGTAGCATTTCAACTGCACTGAGTAATATAGTTGTTTATGGGGATGGCTAAGAGTCCCCATCACTAATTTTAATGTTAATATTTCTTAATGAGGAATGTGCTCACAGTTCTAGGTTAGGATGTCAAGTACCCCAACTTTGCTGAAAAGGGTGTTCCCAGGTGGCTGTGGTGAATCAGGTGTGGTATGTTCTTTTGGAGACTGTTTCCGTAATTTCATCACTGGAGGTGTGGTTTGATGCTGTCAAGTTTCCTTCTAAGGCAAATAATGTATGTGTTTATAGCAGACATTTTTGGCCAGATAGATTTCATTTTATGATAGGATCTGTGCAACCTGAAACTCACTGTGACGCAGAGAATGACCTTGAACTTCTAATCATTCGGAACCCACTTCTGAGGAGCTGGAATTATAGGAAAGCTCCACCAAACACCCTTATGTGTTGCTGGGGACCAAACCTGAGCTTTGTTCCTGGCAGGCAAGTACTCTTGCCATCTGAGCTTTAGCCCTAGCCCTTGGCCAGATGTTTTCTGTGGCAGCAGATCTTGTGTACTTTAAAGGACCTTTATCTGCATGCGGTACCCACTGTGTGGTAGACACCCCTCCCATATTCCAGTGACAATAATATTTTGGCTTCAGACTTTGTCAAGGATTTGGGGGGGGTCAGAGTCTCCCCAGTTGAGAATGAAAGTAAGCCTGTATATGAAATGTTCTAAGTGTCAATGAACTATTGGTTAAGTGTCAAGAGAAGCTATCAGTAAGTTAAAATGCCTTGAATATTAAGACATTTTTATTACAAAGATGGAAAGGTTAGTATACCCTGTGAATGGCTTGTGTGCCCTGCCAAATTTTATCACCACAGAAATTTCAGGTATTAATACCATTGTAAAGCTTGGAATTAGAAACTTAAAATTAGAGAAGGAATACTAGGGGCTATAGATATAGAGATGATGGCTCAGTGGTTAAGAGCACGTGCTACTCTTAACAGAGAACCAGAATTTACTTTCCAGAACCTGTTTTGAACCACTCACAATTGACTGTAACACCAGCTCCAGCAGTCTGACAGCTTTGGTTTCCTACATGCAGAAGCACATGCATATTTTTTTTTAAAAAAAATACATGTTTAAAAAAGAAATTTTACACTAATTTTGATTTTTTTTTCCCTTTTTTTTTTTTTTTTTGTGTAGTGGTTTCTTTCAGCTTCTTTAAATTAATGAAGTGTGAATTGACCATGTATATTGACTAGGAAAAGTTGATCATCCGTAGTGGCAGTCCCAAGGAAAACTAAACAAGAATTTTCCATGCATGCCTTTAACCCTAGCACTAAAGAGGCTGGAATAAAAGGATTAATGGTTCAAGGCTACCCTGGCCTACATAAACCATAAACAATAACAACAATGCTGAGGTTCAATGTGAATAAAGCCAGTGAGATGGCCTGCTGCCAAGCCATACCGCCTGAGTTCAATCCTGGGGTCCCATATGGTAAAAGAGAATCAGTCTTTAGCTAACAATGTTCTGCTATGCACGTCTATAGTCTAAGGAACCAAAAGTTAATTAAAAAAAGAGTACCACAAAACACATGCAGTAACTGATAGAGAAAGAAAGTATGACACATTTTAAACCCCAAGTTGGTTGTAGTTGGTCCCTTCAGAAATCAAAGTAATTTGTAAAGCTCAGGACCAGATACATAATTTGTGAGTCTCTTGTTGGTTTGTTTGTTTAAAATGTATGAGTTTTAGAGTGGTGGGAGCGGAGTATGAAGCCAGTATGCCAGGGGCCCCAAGGGATGGATGCACAGACTGTGTGCCTGGGAGTCTGGCTCCATTAAAGCTCTGTGTCCATAGCTAAAAGGATGCTGGCAACCCCACCTCAGTGAAATGCTACCACTCCCAAACACTGGAGTTTGGTTTTGTTTCTTTGTGCCAGGTGGGCTCAAACCCAGGGCCTTGCCCCTTACCCCCTAACCCCCTGGCCAGCACTCCTCTGCTGGGCTTTGTCCCGCGAGGAGTTTCTGTGTCATTGGTCCATACTCAAGAAATCCTCCCATTAGTTTTTCTTTTCTTAGAGCAGTAGCCATCATCCCTTGGGGTCCTGGGTACCTGGGTTACTTGTCCACTCAGGCGTTCACTGAACAGCTGCTTACTGAGCCAGGCATTGTTGGCTCTGGGACTTCAGCTGTGACCATGATGGGATGAATGTCTCTGCATTTTGTCACTGCATTTACACACCCTTTACTCTGGTGGCTAGAGAATGAGACAGATAAGCCCACAGTCCTAACCTTAACTGGTACATGAGAAAGGCACATGGAGTTGTGTCAGGCGAGGGCCTGTTGAATGATTTGGGGGAGGCCTGGAGGGTCTCCTTCAATAAGTTGTATTTGATATTTAACATACCCAAAAGGTGACTAGGAAGCAATCGGGTAAGTTAGGGGATGGATTTTTAGGAGAAAAGTATTGAATCCAAGAGGAAAATGTGGCCTTGGGGCCATTTGTAGGATTTTGGATTATAGTAGTGGGTACCCATTCATGGGTTTGAAATGAGCAATGAGCTCCTCTGTGGTTCTCAAATGCTTATACTGCAGCTGTGCAAAGGATGGTGTGAAAAGTGGGCCCTGCTGGTACTCACAGTGCCTTATGGGATACCAGTCTGAGAAGACTGCTTTTTATCCTGGCAAGAGCAGTACCAAGGGCTTTGGTCTCTTAGCCAGTCAAGTTGACACAGCCTGTGCAGTCATGTGCAGACACCCAGGAGGGGAGAGTGGATATTAGCAAACAATGACACCCCATGTCCCTACTGTCACCCAGGAATGGTGTGGTGGATAAAATTTGAGATTTATTTGTAGTTCAAATCCGAAGGATAGTCATGGTTAACTAATACTGTTGACTAGGAGGTAACAAGGATGACTCAGAAGTTTCTGGCATGAACAACTGAGTAGGATGGGATAGGGAAAGCATTTGTGGTGTTGGAGAGCACCAGGGTGGGGTGGGAGTGGTGGGGGGCAGGATGAGGTTGGCACCACACACGGGAGGGAAGGTAATTAATTCCCTTTTGGAGATGTGTTGTTTGTGAGAGAGACAACCAAAGGATGCCGAGGAGCTAACAGCTAGAAGGGTCTGGAATGGAAATACCTGCAAACCCTGGTGTGCAAAATACTCACAGCATTGTAAAGCCTCAAAAGAAAAGATAGGCTGAAGAGAGAAAGGGTCTGTCCCTGCAGCTGTAGACCATTTCCTGCTTGAGAAGGGAGGCCAGCTAAGGCACACATATAGGGTAGGAGAAACCCTGGGGTCTGTGGTTTCTGGGTTTCTTTTGTCTTAGATCAGAATTGAGCTGGGAGACACTGCATTTGTTTACTTGTTCCTGGAAACATCAGGTAGATAAGAGGTATGGGGGAAGATGAGGGTGGGCCCAAATTCCAGAGATGATAAAGACAGCCCGGCAGGGTTGGTCTGTGATAGGAGGGAGACACTTTATATGGAGTCAGGACTTTTCACCTTTTTTTGAAAGGAAGGAATAAGACCATTAGCTGGGTTTCTGAAGTAGAATGTTTCTTTAACTAGTGGATTTCTTTTACACTTTTTTTTTTTTAATATGTTTAATTTGCTGTGCTAGGAATCAGACCCACATGAAAGAAGGCACACTTCTAGAACTACAGTCCATCTTGTTGAAGTATTTTCTAGTGCTAAGGTTCATGA